ATGATAATGTGTGCGTGAACGTGGGCGCTGATCATGTGGCAGGCATGCACGCAATGATGATAATGCGTGCGTGAACGTGGATGCTGATCATGTGGCAGACATGCACGCAACGATGATAATGTGTGCGTGAACGTGGATGCTGATCATGTGGCAGGCATGCACGCAACGATGATAATGTGCGCGTGAACGTGGATGCTGATCATGTGGCAGGCATGCACGCAATGATGATAATGTGTGCGTGAACGTGGATGCTGATCATGTGGCAGGCATGCACGCAACGATGATAATGTGCGCGTGAACGTGGATGCTGATCATGTGGCAGGCATGTACGCAATGATGATAATGTGTGCAATGATGATAATGCGCGCATGCACGCAACGATGATAATGTGTGCAATGATGATAATGTGTGCGTGAACGTGGATGCTGATCATGTGGCAGGCACGCACGCAATGATGATAATGTGTGCAATGATGATAATGTGTGCATGCACGCAATGATGATAATGCGTGCGTCAATGTGGGTGCTTATCATGTGGCAGGCGTGCGCTCAGTCATGAAAGTGTGCCCGTGAACGCAACATACGCCCACTGCTCCAAACCCGCGCGCAGGTCGTCAAAAATGGCCCTGAAACCCTTGTTTACAGTGGGAAACGAAACGCGAAAAGCGCGCGGAAACACCCCATCGGAGGGAACAACAAACAACAAACAACAACAACAAACACAAAACAACAACAACAACAACAACAACAACAACAACAACAACAACAACAACAACAACAACAACAACCAACCAACAACCAACAACCAACAACCAACAACCAACAACCAACAACCAACAACCAACAACCAACAACCAACAACCAACAACCAACAACCAACAACCAACAACCAAGAACCAAGAACCAAGAACCAACAACCAACAACCAACAACCACAACAACAACAACAACAACAACAATACTCACAACAACAACAACAACAGCAGCAGCAGCAACAACAACAACAACCACAACGACCACGACGATGACGACGACGACGACGACGACGACGACGACGACGATGACGACAACGACAACGACAACAACGCCAACAACGACAACAACGACAACAACGACGACAACGACGACAACGACGACAACGACGACGACGACAACGACAACGACAACGATACAACGATACAACGATACAACGATGCAACAACACCAAACAACCACGACGGACGTTAGCAACAACAACAACAACAACAACACTCACAACAACAACAACAACAACAACAACAACAACAACAACAACAACAACAACAACAACAACAACAGCAGCAGCAGCAGCCACAACAACAACAACAACCACAACGACCACGACCACGACGACGACGACGACGGCGACGACGACGTGGACGACGACGACGACGACGACGACGACGACGACGACGACGACGACAACGACACCAACGACAACAACGACAACAACGACAACAACGACAACAACGACAACAACGACGACAACGACGACAACGACGACAACGACGACAACGACGACGACGACGACGTGGACGACGACGACGACGACGACGACGACGACGACGACAACGACAACGACAACGATACAGCGATACAACGATACAACGATACAACGATACAACGATACAACGATGCAACAACAACAAACAACCACGACGGACGTTAGCAACAACAACAACAACAACAACAACAACAACAACAACAACAACAACAACAACAACAACAACAACATCAACCACAACAACCACAACAACCACAACAACCACAACAACCACAACAAGAACAACCACGACGACGACGACAGCAACAACAACAACCACAACAACAACAGCAGCAGCAGCAACAACAAGAACAACGGCAGCAGCAGCAACAACAACAGCAGCAGCAGCAACAAGAACTACACTACAAGCAACTTTTTTCATATTTTGGGTCCAAACGGGCTTAAAACCCCGGACAACCCCCCGGACAAACCCCCGGACAACCCTCCGGACAGCTTTGAGGGCACAAAATCGGCGGGACAACTCCCCGGACAACCGCGCAGCTTTGAGGGCCCAAAAGCCCGGGACAAACCCCCGGACAAACCCCCGGACAACCCTCCGGACAGCTTTGAGAGCCCAAAACCCGGCGGACAAGTCTTCGGACAGGTTTGGAACACGCCAAAACCACTCGGAAACCACTCGGAAACCACTCGGAAACCACTCGGAAACCACTCGAAAACCACTCGGAACCCGCTCAAAACCACTCGGAAACCACTCGGAGGGAAGTATTCTTGCGAGAGGGGGGGTTTGCAGCATAAATCTCGGCAAAGTGCGCGGACAACCCTCCGGACAACCTTCCGGACAACCCCCCGGACAACTTGCTGGACAGTTGTTTGTCAAGCAGTTTGTCCCGCACTTTGTCCCGCACTTTGTCCCGCACCTTGTCCCGCACTCTGTCCCGCAAACCGAGGGGGGTGTTTATGCAGAAGGGCATTCGTCAAAATATAACAATACAACAAGACAACACAACAACACAACAAACCAACAACAACCACAACAACAACAACAACAACCACAACCACAACCACAACCACAACCACAACAAGAACAACCACGACGACGACGACAGCAGCAACAACAACCACAACAACAACCGCAACAACAACAGCAGCAGCAGCAACAAGAACAACAACACCTGTAACAATACACCAATATAACAACACAACAAGACAACAACACAACAAGACAAGAAGAGAACAGCGCAACAAACCAACAACAACAACAACAACAACAACAACAACGACAACAACGACAACAACGACAACGACAACGACAATACAACAACAACGACAACAACAACAACAACAAAGGCACAAACACGAACAAAAACAATAACAAAGGCAAACAAAACATTACACAGCAAAGCAAAACAATGCAAACAACAACATCAACAGCAACAACCAGAAATTACTAAGAACAACAACTGCGACGATGGCGACAACAATACGAACAACAACAGCCACAACAAACACAACACTCACAACAACCACAACCACATCCACAACAACAACAACACCCACAATAGCAACCGCACCAACAACACCACCACCGCCACCAAAAACAACAACAACAACCACGACCACGACCACAACCACGACAACGACCGCAACCACAACCACAACTGCAGCCACAACGACAACAACAACAACGATACACCAACAACTGCAGCAACAACAATACAGCGATACAACGACACAGCAACAACAACCACGACGACGACGACGACGTCATCAACAACAACAACAACAAGAACAACAACCACAACCGAAACAACGACGACGGCGACAGCAACAACAACGACAACCGCAACAACAACAGCAGCACCAACAAGAACAACAGTACAAGAATACAGCAACACAACAATACAAGAAGACAACAAACCACCACCACCACCAACAACAACAACAATACAACAATACAACAACAACAACAACAACAACAACAACAACAACAACAACAACAACAACAACAACAACAACAACAAGCGCTACAGCAACTACAACAACAACACCAAAACCAACAACAACAACAACACCAACAACAACAACAAGCGCAGCAACTACAACAACAACACCAACACCAACAACAACAACACCAACACCAGCAACAACAAACAACACCACTGCCACAACAACAACCACAACAACAACAACAGTAACAACAACAAGAAAAGCTTCTCCACCACCTCCACCACCACCACCTCCACCAACAACAGCAACCACAACCGCATCGACAACAGCAACAACAGCAACAGCAACAACCACAACCGCAACCACAACCAAAACCACAATGACAACCGCAACCACACCAACCGCAACAACAACGACAACAACAACCGCAACAACAACAGCCGCCACAACCGCAGCAACAACAACAGCAGCAACAACAACGACAACAACAGCCGTAACAACGGCAACAGCAACAACCACACCGACGACGACAACAACGACAACAACGACAACAACGACAACAACAGAACAGCAACAACAACAACAAAAACACCACCACCCACCACCGCCACTACCACTGCCACCACCACCTCCACTACCAACAACAACAACAACCGCAACCGCAACAACAACCACCACCACCATTAGCAGCAACGACGGCGACAACGACAGCAACAACAACGACAATGCCGGCGACGACAACGACAGCAAGAACAACAATAACAACCACAAAAACCCACGACATCAACAACAACAACAACAACAACAGCAAAATACACTAACCACCACCACCTTCACCTCCATCACCTCCACACCGCCACCACCTCCACCACCAACAACAACACCAACACCACCAACAGCAACAACAAGAACAACACCAACAACAGCAACAGCAACACCAACAACAACAAACAACAAACAACAATCAACAAACAACAAACAACAACAAGCAACAGCCACAACAACAACAACAACAACAGCAGCAGCAGCAGCAGCAGCAGCAGCGACAGCGAGGACGACGACCACGACCACGACCACGACCACAACAACGACCACGACCACCACAACGACAACGACAACAAAAATGAAAACGACAACGACAACAAGAACAACAGCAACACCAACACAAACACCAACCACAACAACAACAGCAACAACAGCGGCAGCAGCAACAACCGCAACCACAACCACAACCACAACGACAACGACAACAACAACAACCACAACAACAACAACAACAACAACACCAACACCAATACCAACAACAACAACAACAACAACAACAACAACAACAACAACAACAACAACAACAACAACAACAACAACAACAACAACAACAACAACACAACAACAACAACAACAACAGCAGCAACAACAACAACAACAACAACAACAACAACAGCAACAACAACAACAACAACAACAACAACAACAACAACAACAACAACAACAACAACAACAACAACAACAACAACAAACACCCAGTCGCCTCAGGACGTGGGCACAGACCTGCGCGACTGCTGGGGCCAGCTGCGTGATCCGGGAAACCGCTCGGTTTGCGACGCGCAGAACATCCGGGACCTGATGGAGGCGGAGAGTCGTCGGGGAGCGGGTTGAAAGATAAAAGAGACGGGTGCGTACCTTTAAACAAGTTGGGGACCTTCTTGATTGACAATTTATCCCCGCCCCTTCTTGACGACCGCCCTGGTTGTTTCCAAAACACTTGGGATGCCCTTCAATACACAAGGTCTCCAATTCCAGAAAGCACGCAGATTGGCAGTCAGCGCATCAGCTTTCCAAAATCAATCGGGAAGTGGAGGCCGCAGGTTGTGGTCTTGGATGCGGGGTACTGCCTGTGTCAAACCCGGCCGTGAGATCCATTATTGGCTTCACTGTCCTGGCAACGATGTTATTAGGTTCTTTAGCCCTGGGGCAGCAAAGAACAACTTTTTCGGCTGACATGACAATGGCTGCATCTCAGTTTGAATGGCATCCAGACAAGGGGTGCTATGGCACGATCTTCCTCCAAGAGGCTTGGTTGAAGACCTTACAAGTACTCTAAGGATTGATTCTCCATTCTTTGCGCCCACTGCTTTCTTGATGCTGTAACAGAGCGAGCTATTTGAAGAGAAGCTAGAGCTCGAAGCGCTGGTTCGCTCCAAGCGAGCAAGCAAAATGATCAAGACGCGCAGAGCAAAGGATGGGAATGGAAACAGGGAGAAGAGAAAAAAACCTGAGAGAACAAAAACAGATCGAAACGAAATCGCTTGCTGCAAGCCCAGCCGCGCACGGCTTTCGCAAGGAAGGCCCACGTCCAGCGCAAGTTGCATCAGAAACAGTCAAAACAATACGTTTGCGGTGGCAACCGCTCGCTTCAACCGCTCGCTTGAAGTCGCAACACTTGGAACTGCTTTTCCGTTGTAAGCCACGCCTGCAGCGCCAGAAGGAGAACAGCAAGGTGTTCAGCAGAAAACTAAGCATATGCGGGCGCAAGACCCGCGCAGCCCCTAGATATTCACAAGGTGTTTCCAAGAGGAGTCTTTCTTGTGTATATTGCGCTGCCTAGCCCCAGTTCTAGGTAGCCGCGTGCGCGAGTGCGGGCCCATCGGAGAGATTTGATGTAGCTCGCCATGTCCTTGTCCCTCGCTTTGGATTGTTCTATTGGGACGCTACGAAGGAAACCAACCACTGTGGCAAATCCTGCTGTTGAGATACAATTGCCCTGTTTTTTTGCATTCAGTTGCCCGCACTGATGCAAAGCAGGAGGGTGGTTGCAGTTCGGATTGAGGACAAATTTTTCAACGCGCGAGGTGCACAAGCTCGGGCCCAAAAGGTTCCCCACTTGGGGTTCATGCTTCATCCTTGGGAATTTGCCCTGAAACGAGTCAGGGGAAGTCTGCTGACATCTTGTTGATGCGCGGAATTTGCAAAGTCTGGAAGACTTGCAGACAGCCACTTGCCAGCGTGTTAAACCTCATTTGTGTTGCTTTGCGCGGTCAGAGCTTTGACCAAACCCCGCCATCATCAACACGAAACACCCTATACTACCGCAGAACACAACCAACTTCGCCGCAAGTATCCTCATCAAAACATGAATAACACATGTCAACATGTTTTCCACCGTTGAGGACTTGGAGGGCGCCCGTGTGCCTGAACTGTCTGCAGGACGTGATGCGCAACTCTGCAGAGCTGGACTCTGCTGGGCCGGCTTCCCAGACTGCGAGCGGTGGGGTCGAGGACGAGCGCTTTCCTTCTGTGGGCAAAAGCCCAGCTAGGCACAGCTTTGCTTTGCCTGCGTTCGCTTCCTAGGCAAGAATGATTTTTGCTCAGGGATGGCAAACAAGGTGTCCTTGTGTGTGTGTGTGTGTGTTTGTGTGTGCGTGTGTTTGTGTGTGTGTGTGTGTTTGTGTGTTTGTGTGTGAATGTGTGCGTGAATGTGAATGTGTGTGTGTGTTTGTGTGTTTGTGTGTGAATGTGTGCGTGAATGTGAATGTGTGTGTGCGTGTGTGTGTGCGTGTGTGTGTGTGTGTGTGTGTGTGTGTGTGTGTGTGTGTGTGTGTGTGTGTGTGTGTGTGTGTGTGTGTGTGTGTGTGTGTGTGTGTGTTGTGTGTGTGTGTTTGTGTGTGTTTGTGTGTGTGTGTGTGTTGTGTGTGTGTTTGTGTGTGTTTGTGTGTGTGTGTGTTTGTGTGTGTTTGTGTGTTTGTGTGTGTGTGTTTGTGTGTGTCTGTTTGTGTGTGTTTGTGTGTTTGTGTGTGTGCGTGCGTGTGCGTGTGTGTGTCTGTCTGTCTGTCGTCTGTCTGTCTGTCTGTCTGTCTGTCTGTCTGTCTGTCTGTCTGTCTGTCTGTCTGTCTGTCTGTCTGTCTGTCTGTCTGTCTGTCTGTCTGTCTGTCTGGGTGTGTGTGTGTGTTTGTGTTTGTGTGTTTGTGTGTGTGTTTGTGTGTGTTTGTGTGGTTTCTCTGTGTGTGTTTGTGTCTGTGTGTGTCTGTGTGTGTTTGTGTGTGTTTGTGTGTGTGTATGTGTGTGTGTATGTGTTTGTGTGTGTGTTTGTGTGTGTGTTTGTGTGTGTTTGTGTGTGTTTGTGTGTGTGTCTGTGTGTGTGTTTGTGTGTGTGTGTCTGTGTGTCTGTGTGTCTGTGTGTCTGTGTGTGTGTGTTTTTGTGTGTGTGTGTTTGTGTGTGTTTGTGTGTGTGTGTGTGTTTGTGTGTGTTTGTGTGTGTGTTTGTGTGTGTGTTTGTGTGTGTTTGTGTGTGTTTGTGTGTTTGTGTGTGTGTGTGTGTTTGTGTGTGTCTGTTTGTGTGTGTTTGTGTGTTTGTGTGTGTGCGTGCGTGTGCGTGTGTGTGTGTCTGTCTGTCTGTCGTCTGTCTGTCTGTCTGTCTGTCTGTCTGTCTGTCGGTCTGTGTGTCTGTCTGTCTGTCTGTCTGTCTGTCTGTCTGTCTGTCTGGGTGTGTGTGTGTTTGTGTTTGTGTGTTTGTGTGTGTGTTTGTGTGTGTTTGTGTGGTTTCTCTGTGTGTGTTTGTGTCTGTGTGTGTCTGTGTGTGTTTGTGTGTGTTTGTGTGTGTTTGTGGTGTGTGTATGTGTTGTGTATGTGTTTTGTGTGTGTGTGTGTTTGTGTGTGTGTTTGTGTGTTTTGTTGTGTTTTTGTGTGTGTGTCTGTGTGTGTGTTTGTGTGTGTGTCTGTGTGTCTGTGTGTCTGTGTGTGTGTGTTTGTGTGTGTGTGTGTGTTTGTGTGTGTGTGTTTGTGCGTGTGTTTGTGTGTGTGTGTGTGTGTGTGTGTTTGTGTGTGTGTGTGTGTGTGTTTGTGTTTGTGTGTTTGTGTGTTTGTGTGTTTGTGCGTGTGTTTGTGTGTGTGTTTGTGTGTGTGTGTTTGTGTGTGTGTGTGTGTGTTTGTGTGTGTGTTTTTGCTTGTGTGTGTGTTTGTGTGTTTGTGTGTTTGTGTGTTTGTGTGTTTGTGCGTGTGTTTGTGTGTGTGTGTTTGTGTGTGTGTGTTTGTGTGTGTGTGTTTGTCTGTGTGTGTGTGTTTTTGCTTGTGTGTTTGTGTGTTTGTGCGTGTGTGTGAGTGTGTGTGTGTGTGTGTGTTTGTGTGTGTTTGTTTGTTTGTTTGTGGGTATCTCCGTCACTCAGTGGGTGAGTGTGTGCACGTGTGGTTTTTTAGCCTGTTTGAGAGAGAGAAAGAGAGAGAGAGAGAGAGAGAGAGAGAGAGAGGGAGAGGGAGAGGGAGAGGGAGAGACAGAGAGAGAGGGAGAGAGATAGAGAGAGAGAGAGACCGTGTTTGTGTTTGCATCCTTGCCCGTGTTATGTGTGTGTGTGTGCGTGTGTGTCTCTGCATGTCTCTGTGTTCGCAAATTTGTCTGTGTGCAAGTGTGCCTGGTGCTTTTGTGTGCTTGTGTGAGTGTCTCTGTATTTGCGCGTGTACGTGTGTCTGTGCGCGTGTGTGTCTGTCTGCCTGTGAGTCCGTGTGTTTGAGTTGCCAACGCGACACCTTGGCACAAAATCCAGAAAACGTGTCACTCCAACGTTTTGTTTGGGAGCAAACAATGATCCTCATCGTTTTTTTTCAAAAACGTTTGTCTAAAACTTGGGACCGCGACTCCGTCAGGGTTCAGGGCCTTACAGCAAATCGCCCCAACACCGGCTAAATAGGCGCAGCTGACAGGAAGAGTGGTGCCTCCATCGTCACCAACATGCGCCGATTTGTCGTGAAGAACTTCAAGGACTGATTCTGTTTGGCTGGTTCATGGGTATGGTAAACGTTAGAGGCCAATGTTTCCGGGGTGCTTGTTGAACATTGTCGTAGCTGTTTGATGTACTTGGCTTTCGTGGCTCTTGTGGGCTCTTGTGGGCATGCGTGGCTTTTGTGGTTTCTTGGCTTCTTGCCCTATACGATCCACATCCAGCTGCGAAAACATTCAAAGCCAATAAGCCAGCCCTGAATGCATCCCCAAGCCAAGCCCAACTCCTGCCTAAGTTCACCAAGTGAAGCCCTAAACCAACACCAACGAAAATGCAGGGGACCCTTCGACACACGAAAAAGTGATCCGGACAGGTTTTTGGCATTCTGCTCAAGAGAACGAACCCGCAACTTTAGCACAATTTCCTGCTACTCAGGCGCAATTGTCCATAACTCAGGCGCGATTCCAAAAAGTGTGCAAAGCCAAAGTTCTGCCCAGCAATCCGCGTATTTGCATGTGTTTGCATTTACCATTCCCATTTGCCACGAAAACTCGAGCAAGCATTTGTCTGTGTATCCATGGGTCCTGGTGCTCTCAATCAGCATTCACCCACCCAAAACTGACCAACCCCATTCACGCAGACTCAATGCTGGCGTTTGGTGCATGTTTCTGCCTTGTGTGAAGAAGCTGCGAATCGGCATCCTGAAGCAACAAGCACACATCCCAACCAAAAAAACACGCAAAGTAATGTGAACCTGTGATGCTCATTTATTCAAGCCAAGGACTTAAAGCCAGCTTCAGCGGAGTGTTTTGGATTATGAAGCGAATAAAGTGAGGGAGGTCATTGGCGATAATGTCCAATACTGGGAAAGCGAGCAACTTGAGTTCCGTGCCCATGCTCGTTCGTATCATCCTCCGGCGCGTTTGTTTTGTTCATCTCAATCGTGTTGCTTTGCCACGGGGCCAAGATTTGCATCCACCATGGGTTTCGGACTCACCGAACTCCGACAATTCAGGACGCGGAGAATCCGTACATTGTCCGGCAAGCACGGTGGCTGCACGCAGAGATGTGTTTTTTCATTGCATGCTTTTGCCACAGAAGTTTGAGCGCCCCATCATTTTTGTCCAACCACAAAAAGCGGGCCGGTATTCTGGCCCTGTTTTCCAACACATCCTCTTGGAGATCAAATACTGTAGACATTTGTCAGCTCAGGTCATGCCAACATTTGCCCGCAAGTTGACAGAACATGCGAGAGCCGATGGAGGTTGCTTTCGAACGGCGTGCCTTGAACAGCACTTGGTGGGCCAGGTCAGGGTGTGCTATATACTCCCTTTTGGTGGTTTGAAACATCACCTAGGCCGATTCAACGTGGTTTCCTTTTGGCCGGGTGATTTGAAAGTGGAAACATTGGACACTTGGACTCGTCGTCTTGGCGCCGACAGGCTCAACTTGCAGAGCCTAGTCTGATGCTGGGACATGTCCATTGGCCGCGGGGATCATTCCCTGATCAAAGGCCTCCCTTTCGATTCGATTTCAATCAGGGGAAGCAAGAGACATGAATCCTGACCGAAGCTCACAGGGAGTTCAGGCCAGAGTTCAACCAGGTGCAATCTGGTCTCGACCCTCGTTGTTTTTGGAGCAGGGCGCAAGGCCAGACGCCATTTATCACGAACATTTGGTTCTTGAATAGTGGCCCTTTTCAACCACGATGGACGAGAAGTAACCGGAAGACTACTGGAAGACTGCAGGAAGACTACCAGATGACTCCGGGAAGATCGCAGGAAGACTACGGAATTCGGGAAAACTGTCAGAAGAGAGTACAAGCTTACATGACCAAAAACCATCAAACATTGAGGCGAGTCTTCAAAACGAAGGGTTCAGACATATTCCAATTCGACACATCTGGATTTTGGCAGGCGGCTCATTCAGGGTGTGTCCCGAACCTGTGGACTTTCTTGAATGGTTCAAAGGGAAGCCAAGAGTTTACAAACAGAGGACGGCCAAATGCGGTCCAACTCATTTTGACATTTGTTTTGGGGAAATTGGGGGATACGGCGATACATGTTTAAACACCAGCATTGCTCATACCAACGGCTCGTTTCAACACAAATTGCCCCGCCCCGGGCCGACCCTCGCCCCCCCGCCCCCTTCGCCCCAGACATTTTCAGCTCCAGGGTGGCCCCACTCTGCGCAGTGCTGGACCTGCCCAAGGCAGACGACAGCCTCGAACGCACCCATTGGCGGCTCGCTCACATGGCGTGGTGGACAAGTGCGGGGTGCGATGTGGTTTGCTTTGTTTGTGGTTGTGTGTATTTAACATGCGGCAAATATATGAACAACATATGTATACATAAACATACCATACCGTACCATACCGTACCATACCGTACCATACCGTACCAACGTTTTCTTCGGCGCCTGAATGATAAGACTCCCCGATCAAGTGCTGCGCGAGGCAAAACAAAGTGAATTTCCGCTCAAGTGCGGCAGTATATATTTGCGCTTGTGTGGTCTAGGCACTCATCCTGAAAAGGAAACACGAAGGCACCCAGCAGATCACTAGGCTGAAAACAGCTCTTGGAAGAGGGCTTCAAAGAGGGCCGGTTAAAACCGCATGGCGCGTAGACGCAAAAGCCCTGCAAGTGCGCCCGTCAGAATATGTAATATATAGGGTTGGTTTAGAATTGGTTTAGGGTATATTTAGGGTGTATTTAGGGTTAGTTTAGGGTTGGTTTGGGGTTGGTTTATGTTAATTTAGGATTGGTTTAGGGTTGGCTTAGGTTTAGAGGTGTACGGTTTAGGGTTTGGTTTAGGGTTTGGTCTAGGGTTTGGTTTAGGGTATTTAGGGTTGGCTTAGGGTGAGTTTGGGGTTGGTTTAGGGTTGGTTTAGGTTTAGGGTTTATTGTTTAGGGATTGGTTTAGCGTTGGTTTAGGTTTATAGGTCTACGGTTTAGGGTTGTGGTAGGGGGTATGTTTAGGGTTAGTTTAGGGTTGGTTTTATGGTTGGTTGCGGGTTGGCTTGTCCTGGGGGTGGGGGTGCCGGGGTGTTGCGGTGCGGGTTCAGGGGGTCGGGGTGGGCGTGGGACGGTAGGGCTCGGGGTCTCGGGCTGGGGGGGTGGGGGTCCTGGGGGACCCATACCATCTGGGGACGGAACACGGGACCACATATGCTCACCCCCCCCCCCCCATGAACTGCCTTTCCTGCAGTGTATCAAAAAAGTGTTAAAACACATTGTATTTGTTGTGTTTTTATCATAAGAGCAACATTTAGAGCAAAACAGATTCCGTAACGCGGTTGAATTCCGATAATTGTAAAAAGTTGGCAAAAACCCTCAGTGTTTGCATTGTTTTACTAAATGTATTCAAAAAACACACATTGTGTTTAGCAAATTTTGTAATTTACATGGAGACAATGAAGCGCACGATTCAATATGGACCAAAAACAAAAAACAACAAAAACAATCTGAGGACAAGTTTTGGTTTTGCCAAAAGTTTTGTTTTTTGGTTTTCTCGAGGCTTTTTTTTTTTTTGCGTTGCCTCGAGTTTTTGGTTTTCTGGGTAGAAACAAACAAACAACTCGATGGTGTCTGGTGTTTTTTGTCTTGTTTGATAGAGCACCATAAAACACCTCGAGAAAACCAAGAAACCAAACAACCAAAACTCTGAGGACAAGTTTTGGTTTTGCAAAAAGTTTCTTTTTGGTTTTTCTCAAGTTTTTTTGGTTTCGTCGGGTTATTTTGGTTTTCTGGGTAGAAGACTAAAACAACTCATGTTTTTTGTTTTCTCGCGGTTTTTATGGTTTTCTATCAAATAAGACTAAACACCAAAAAACCATCGAGTGTGTTTTAAGGTTTCTACCCAGAAAACCAAACAACCTCGAGGAAAACCAAGAAACAAAGAAACCTCGAGAAAACCAGAAAACCAACACTTTTGGCAAAACCAAAACTTGTCCTCAGAGTTTTGTTTGGTTTTCTCGAGGTTTTTGTGTTTTCTGTCAAATCAGACTAAAAACCAAAAACCATTGAGTTTTTTAGGTTTCAACCCTGAAAGCCAAAATAACCTGAGGAAACCAAAAAACCAAAAAGACCTTGAGAAAACCAAAAAACCAAAACTTTTTGGCAAAACCAAAACTTGTCCTGAGAGTTGTTTTTTTTGGGGGGGGGTCTCGAGGTTTTTATGGTTTTCTATTAAATAAGACTAAAAACCAAAAACCATCGAGTTGTTTTCCTCTTCCTTGGTCTGATTCTTTTGAGTTGCCTTCTCTACTAGCTCCTTCAGCTTGTAAACGCTCCAGGGCCCGCTGTTGTTGGGAGGAAGACACAGAAGCAACTCCCCTAGCAATGGCCGCATGCGACAAAGAAGACAACTTGGCAAGCTCCTCAGGAGGTTTGCACAATGAACACCGCGCGATGTCACACATGACAGTGCTGCACAAAGAAGCCAATCCAATGCAGCAATTGCACAATGCTCAAAGCAATGAATTGCTTCCATATCATAGTGCATGTAAAGGAAGATATGATCAAACTGTGAGAAGTAGGCAGAAAGATTTGATAAGGAGGTCACCTCTTGGAAAGAACGGAGCAAAGGTTGGACGAGAAGACGAGGAAGCAACCTCATGCATGCGACATTGAAAATAAATGAAGAGAAACCGGTAATAAAATAAAGAGAGTTTACGCGGAGGTGACGCGGAGGTGACGAAGAGGTGACAAAGAGGTGAAGAGGTGACGAAGGGGTGACGAGGACATAACGAGGAGATGACATTAAGCAAATGAGACATAACCTCGTGTAGAGAGTAACAGAAGCATGCAAAGATTATCTGAAGAGAAGATGTCTCGGAGGATGTGACCTCCAGACGAGGAGGTGACCTCCTGACCTGACGAGGAGGTGACTTCTTGTCGAAGAGGTAGTCTTCATATGGTGCTTGGATACGCAGCCTACATGCTATGTAATTAGTGAACTTAGGCGACTTGCCAAGCTGCTCGCAAGTCGCCCAACCTGAGTTAGTAAGTCTGCCAAGTCTGAATTAGCAGACTTATTGACTCAAGTTACTTGCAAGCGGATTAGCAAATCACCTAAGTTCACTAACTACATAGAATGAAGGTCACCCATCCAAGCGAGAAACTGATGATTTCTTGATGTACATTGAGGATATTGGCTTAGATGTTTAAATATTTTGCTTGTTGGGATTACAGATGCAGAGGTTGGATGGTTTGGGAGGAAGTCTCACAGATGACGAATTTGAGTGCAGATGAGGGCTTGCACTGCAGGAAAGGTAGTTCATGGGGGGGGGTGAGAATATATGGTTCATGGGGGGGGGTTGACCAAATATATAAATATATATAATTATATATACACACCTACTAGTCAGATGATCATGTATGTATGTGTGTGTGTGTGTGTGTACCTCAATGGCTCAAGACGAGAAGGATATCTTGGTGGAGACCAGCCATTCATTGAACTTGGAGATGGCACAGGGTCGAACAGGTTGCAACGATGATTTCAGGATCAAGTCAGATTGTCGGTCTTCCGACAGGAGGACCACTTTTAGTGCTTAGCACATGTTCGGATCACATACGCAGCGCAGACTTGGGACAGGGATGCATATTGAACGGATTGGACTATGCGAGGCTGTGAGAAAAGTTGCACGTGGGCACTGTGAGGCACATCCTGCGAAAGGTGGAGCTGGAAGCAGAGAGTATTCCGGCTGCACAGCAAGTCACAATTGTAAGGTAAACTCCAATCAACTTTGGAGTCGCTGATCAGGTGTGCTTTTCCGAAGGGAATTCACCAGAGAGATGCTGTCTGGATGCCATAGCTAGATGGGTGCCAAATATGGTGCCCTTGACTCGTTTTGAGTCAGCTGCTCTCGGAACCCAGCATGGGGCCCAGGTACTTCACTGGTCTTTCAGGCTGGGCAAGTTTCACCCCGTGGGGGGAGGGGCTTCTTTGTGGTAAGTCGGGGAAATGGTTTGCCCTGCATTTGCGAACTTCCTGTTTGGGCGGCTCTGGACAGAGTCAATCTATCACTGATTATCAAGGTGTTTGCACAAAGAGCCGAAAGCCTTTGCTTGCGCAACATTGCAATCGTAGCGCAAGATACATCCACTGGCAGACCAGACGTTTCGGTCTGCAGCCTGTGCCTACACGTATTCTCAGATTTGGAATGGTCCATACGAGCCAGTTTCAATCCTTTCGCGTCCAACGTTACAAAGCATAAGAAGGGAGACATCAAAATCACAGCAACTGTAGGACTCAGGCAACCCTTCTTTTGTGGCGACGATTTTTGGGGCATTCCGACAGACCTCAACTTTTCAAGCGAGTTCGACAGGACAACGACAGGATCAACTTCCTGGACTGACGGGAGTCGATGCCGCTCAGAGCTTGCTGTTGTGGAAAACTGATAGAGGGATTGATTCCCCACTCGTTTCCACCATCAACCCTTTCGCAAAAGGATCTGCTCATTGTTTGCGGTCTCCCGGCTGGAAAGAATAGGAATGCCCTCCCGAGAGCTGGCCAATGAGAAAGCAGAACGCATCTGGTCTTTCAGTCTTTCAACTTTGGCGCACATTGATCCAGCAAGCGACCAGGGGTTAAGCGGTGCCCGATGTGGACAAAGCCCCGAAGTCGCCGGTACCGGTCTGTCCAGCTCTGCTCATGAGTCGTTCACTTACAATGCTCAACCCGCACTCATTTGTTGGAGCTCTTCCGCTGCATGAATTTCCTTGGCCAAGCAACAGATCCTTGCAGAGGGATTCGACCTCAAACCCACTGGGAGGAAATGTAGCACAGAGGCGCAGCACAATATTTCCCCAGTGACGTACTCCACTTTGGTTTGGAGGACTTGAAGGGCCCCAAGTTCTCCGGTTGGCGAGATGGCACTGGGCTCAGCCGTGATACAGCAAGGGTGAGATGATGCTTTCCTAGGCCATATAGAACAAAGTCAAGCTACAAAACACCTTCTTGTGTGCGCTAAATTGGCAATATTTGGACCGGAAGGCCCCAGATGCTGCCGGGTGTCACTTAATAGTCCTGTGTTGCTTGGAAACTCGGAGTAGGACAAGGGGGTTGTGAGCTTGTGACCGGCCTGGACATGGTTTCCAAGGTCCTGGTTTTCTCACGCCAGTTAAACCTGCGTGCGCAGAGATATTTGTACATGCCTTGTGTTTCTTTTGAAGTCTGAGTCATGCTCTTGTTTCTTCAATTTGAAGCTCAAGGGAAAGCACAAGAAGATATGGTTGCAGGGAATCTTTCTGGCAGGCGTCATGCATTTTCCCATGCGCTTTGCACGCTGCGAGGCAAGTCTTGGTTGGGGAGCGCGGAAGACCGCCACCGCAAGGATGCTTCCCGGACTGCAAATTGGAAGGTGTCACAAGTTGCACCTGTTCGGCCCAAAAGAGGAGACCAAAACGAAGCTGATCTTCTGGAGTCCCTAGTTTCGCCACAGCCAGAAGAGCCGGACTCGAGCTGACGAGGCTCAGGAATCCTGTGCTTCAGAGCACTCACATTTCAACAATACAGGGTGGAATCGCCGGTCTCCGGCTTGCCGCAGTTGCTTCAGTTGCATTGGTCTGAGCTGACATGGGACATACTTTTACATATGATAGCTGGATTTCTAGTGAGTGTGCAGTCTTCCCAAGCCATGCTGAATGATTGGCTCAGGTGCATTAAGGTAGAACATGCCTCCGTGTGCATTGTTTCACCCCGAAGTCCAAAGTGCCATTTTGCTACTTGGTTTGGAGTTTCGGAGCAAACCTGTGCAGACACAAGCATCAAGGCTGTTCGAAGGCAATCCGCAAGTCTTGCCCCCAAACAGGGATGGGGCCCAGAATGCACGAACCCTTTGTCTTGAACAACTAGCCCAGAAAAAATGGGACGTGTGCTACAAATGGGGATTCGTGGTGGGTTTGTTTAGGTGGTTTTGGAAAGAATTTGAAGCAAACCGATCCGTGCGGGGACGGACCGCCCCGCTTTGAACTGCCCAGCCAAATCTTCCATCAATTTTGACTCCACTGACCAGGCTGACTGGAGTTCCTTCCCAGCAAAAGGTATGGTTGGACTGGTAAATCGTTCAACCGGAGTGCATCTTCTCGACTGAGAAGGGAGCTCAGCCTTTCCGGATGTCATATTGCGGATGAATAGCTCTAGGAATGCCAGCCCCAATCTTTTCTGCTTTGAGATGTTGAGCGTGGAGACTTTTGGTGTTTTGATGACTATTAGAGACCCCCTCGCATCAAGCAACCACGACACAAAACAAACACAAACATTCACTGCAGACGGCACCTTCCTTCATGATTTTCTTGCTCAGGGTACTCAGCAAGAAGTCGGGAATTGCAGCAGTTTCTCCATCCATCAGTACTTCCAATGTCAGGACATTTGTTTTCGAGGGCTTCAATCACATTCCCGATCAAACAAGCTGACGGAGGCCACGGTCCATTTTGGGGCAGTTCAAACATCTTGCTTGCTCTCTTTTTGGATGAATCAAATTGGGCATTCCCTTTTGGTTGCCAATCTTGGTTTCCCTTGGCTTTGTCCCGCCTGACGGCGATACAAGAAACAGGTAATACATCATCGGGATATGAATTCGCTTGAGGAATGCCCCGATCGGTTTTTGGTGCAACGGCTGCAGTGGTCATAGATAAAACCAAACCACCTGCAATAGCCACCTGTCCAACAGGAGGATTTTGTCTATCCACCTTGTCGGACATTCACACGGGCGGGGCCTTGCAAATGTTGCACAAACCCCGGAGACCAGCTCCAACTTCCCAAGCACTCAGAAACTCAGAAACTCACATGCACCCACCAAAATTTCAGAAAAGAGAATGCGCTGAGGCAGGCTTCACCGAGCTCTTCCCCTCGGGTCTGCCCTTGGCTCCCTGCGGCGCCAAGGAAGCCGCGCGGGCGCTGGAGCTGGACGGCCCCGCATCGGCTTCGGCTTGCTGAGAGAGACATGGCCGTAGGTCCAATCAAGATGGCTCACGGGAAATCGGGTTGACCTCGAGGGCATGTTGAAAAGGGTACGTTTCGGGAAATGGTTGGCAGGGCTCCATTTTGGGAGAACCAAGTGAGACTTACTTCCAAAAGATGTTTTCCGATGTCCCCCAAAAGTCTGCCGTGGGAAGAGTCTACCTTTGGGGTATTCGAGACACGGCACCATGTGCGGTATCCTTTTGCTTTCCATTTGATCAAGGGTCCCCAAGTCAGCCGTCAGCCTCAAGTTGATTGGTTTCAGCACTTGAGACTGCGACGGTGCTGGAAGGGACATTCGAAACAGGAAGCTTTGATACTGCGAGACCAGTCGAACCAAAGAAGAGCCACGCCAATCACCGAAATGTGCCTGTGTGCATGTGGCCACGTTACTATGTCGGACAACGTTGGCACAGTCGGGCGTTCGAGATCTAGGCAAAGCTCCCGACGTGCTAAAACAGAGGACGCCAAAACAAGGTTAGCTTCCTTGGAGTTTCCCTTTAACCACCTTCACATTGGGCCAAGCTCGCAGGTGCTCAAGGTGCACACGCCATCAAGCATTTGACTGTGCTTGGGGGACTCTAGTTGGGTTTTGGACCAGTGTGAGAATCACTAAGGTCCTCTATTTCCTTTGCAGCCCATTTGCACATCACATCACCTTTTGGGCCAGTGAAAAGTGAATATGTTAATGGGGAACTATGGGGAGCTTGTCAGGACTCAAAGGCCATGGGAGCTTCGACACGCCAAGTTGGCGCAAGCCGACAGCCAGGACTCCGAGATGCTGCGCGACACGGATATGACGGACTACTCTTTGTTTATGGTGCCCTACACAGCGACCTCCGAGCCGAGGTGCGGAAAGCGCACTTGGAGCAATCAAGGGAGGGGGCAAACCAGGTGTTTCGTGGGTAGTATTTTCCCTCAAGGTGCAAGGTTTGTTCAAGGGTTTTGTCCATGAACATCACGCTTACCATCTGAGTTCCTGTGCAACAGGTGTTTTGTTTGGGGGAATGTAGTTTTCAAGGAATATATGGAACACGAGCAGCGCATGCCAGTCCCATTTACTTCCACTCCAAGCAGTCCAAGCAATTGGGCTATGCCGCCATGCCTCGGAGCCAATCTCGCGAGGTGTGGCTGCGATCCAGCTGTGCCACAGTGGCCGCTGGTCTTGGACGCGGAGACCAGGGGGGGAAGTGATACTCCAAGAGGATGCCACGATGTCCACTCACCCACTGACCCACTCACCCACTGCGTACCGACCGACCGACCCGCCCACCCACCAACCAACCAACAGCCACCATGTCCAGTATCCAGCAAAGGGCTACGCTGTTTGTAATGCGGTTCAAACTAGTCGATACGTTTTGTCAAAATGAGAAAGGGTTCAAAACCTGGTTACATTGCGATTGAAAGGGGGTGGTCATAAGGGGGGTCTTTGCGTGAGGAAAATACATGGCGGCGTAAGGCCGCGTAAGCTTTTTTTCGAGGCAAGTTGGTCACGTAAGCGGTTTGGCGTTACGTAGTCATTTGGCAGTGGCAAGGGGCTCAGACACCCTAAAACTTGCTGCTCATGTGTTTTGAGGCTAGTCAGCTAGCAACTGGAGAGTGGAAAACGCAAAAACAAATTAGTGCTGCTGATTCGTTTTTGGTTTTGGGCACCTGGAAGGTTTTGGTAGGGGCTCGAACACCCTAAAATCAAGTTGTGTATGTCCATTATGTGACTAATGCACTAATGCCTTCTTGAGGCTAGTTAGCTGGCAAAGCCTTGCTGGGGAGTGGGAAACGCAAAAACGAATTAGTGCGCGCCGCTAATTCGTTTTTTGGTTTTGGGCACTTGGAGTGTCTTGGTAGGGGCTCAAACAACCAAAAACGGATAGCTTCCAGTCTTTGGGGTATGCCAGGGGTACTTCACAACGCAGGACCATTTGAGCGGCGTTCAAAAGGTCTTGTTCAAATCTAGGTCGCAAGGAACACTTACGCAAGCTTACGCGCAATACAGGTTTTCTTACACGCTTGCATTTATATGAGCTTCCCTTGCGCAAACCTTGCGCGCGGCTCACGCGAAAACACTTCCTTACGAAACTGGATGGTTTCCTTACACACACAGGCGCACTAATACGTTCACGCGTTAGCAACGTTTTGTCAGCTAGCTAGCCTTAAAGAGGCATTGGATTAAGTTTAAGATTGCCGCTGGGAGGTAGAGATTGGAAACTTCAAAATAATTATTTAGTGAATATTAGCAAATGAAATAGTGAATGGAAATAGTGAATTAAAACAATTGCGAATGGAAATAGTGAATGGGAATAGTCAATGGGAATAGTGAATGGGAATAGTGAATGGGAATAGTGAATGGGAATAGTGAATGGACATACGCCTACATGGCGAGGTGACTAGGAAAAAGCAAAAAAACACTAACCTGCATTACATTTTACTAAATTTCACTAAATTTCATAAATTTCACTAAATCTCGCAAATGCAATCTGGTGAAAATTAGTAAAATTTAGTGAAATTTAGCGCAACTAATTAATTTCAATGAAATGTTGGAAAGAGATTCACTAAATTTCACTAAATTTCACTAAATTTCACTAAATTTCATTAAATTTCACTAAATTTCACTAAATTTCACTAAATTTCACTAAACTTCGCAAATGCAATTTAGTGAAAATTAGTGAAATTTAGTGAAATTTAGTAAAATTTAATGAAACTCATTAAATTCAATGAATTTTTAAAAAGAGATTCACTAAATTTCACTAAATTTCACTAAGTTTCACTAAATTTCACTAAATTTCGCAAATGCAATTTAGTGAAAATTAGTGAAATTTAGTGAAATTTAGTGAACTTTAGTGAAATTTAATGAAATTTAGTGAAATTTTGCGAAACTAATTAAATTCAATGAAATTTTAGAAAGAGATTCACTAAATTTGACTAAATTTCACTAAGTTTCACTAAATTTCACTAAATTTCGCAAATGCAATTTAGTGAAAATTAGTGAAATTCAGTGAAATTTAGTGAAATTTAGCGATACTAATTAAATTCAATGAAATTTTAGAAAGAGATTCACTAAATTTCACTAATTTTCACTAAATTTCACTAAATTTTGCAAATCCAATTTAGTGAAAATTAGTGAAATTTAGTGAAATTTAGTGAAACTCAGTGAAATTTAGTGAAATTTCGTGAAATTGAGCGAAACTACTTAACTTCAATGAAATTTTAGAAAGAGATTCACTAAATTTCACTAAATTTATCAAATCCAATTTAGAGAAATTTGGTGACGTTTAGTGAATCTCGTTCTAAAAAATCATTGAATTTCATAAATTTGGCTAAATTTCACTAAATTTTACTAAAATTCACTAAAATTCACTAAATTTCACTAAATTGGGCTTGCGAATCTGCAAATCCATGTTTCCCAATTCACAAGTTTGATTCACTAAATATTTCATTCACTATTTTGATTCACAAACTATTTCACTATATTTCACTAATTTAATTCAAAACATGTGTTTCAGTGTCTGCCTGGTCCGGCAATCTTAAGATTAAGTGCGTTTTTGGGTTTTTGAGCCCCTATCAAGACACTCCAAGAGCCAAACACCCAGCAACGTTTTGCCAGCTAACTAGCGGCGCGCACTAATTGTTTTTTGCGTTGTCCACTCCCCAGCAACGTTTGCCAGCTAGCTAGTCTGAAAAAGGCATGAGTGACGTGCATTGCTGGCATTTTGAGCATAGCTCCCTCGATGACACGATGCATGGGCCATGAAAGGCATTGAAAATCAATTGTTCCGCGGTTGAAACTCAAACAAATACCACACGACAAAGGCATGGCAAAAGGCCGAAATATGTTTGTATGCAGCAGGCTGGATGCCCATACATTGAATCCGTCGTCTTCTTGGGAGGGTCTCAGGTGAAGTGGTGAAATTGCTTTCAGGAGCACGCTGGCAAGCAGTACCGCTTCGCCGCACGGGGCTCGAAGAGCTGATTGGATTCAACAAGTCAATGGATGGCTCAAATTTGAGCCACCCTCCAGCCACCGGGGAATCTTAGTTCTTTGAAGTTTTGTTCATATGGTTGAACTTGTTTTGACAACGCCTCCGTTCTGTGGCCTCAGACAGCGCTTGCTCCTTTCGCTTTCGGGCGTGCATCGAGGTGGGCATTATCGACTACTTGGAAAGAAACTCAGCTGCATTGCTCAATGCCTCACTGGACCAATGTGGCCTTTGAGCCATGGCCTACCGCAAAAGACTGCGAGAAAAACGGCATGGGAGCACCCCTCCCATGATACACCAAGGGCTTTTGCAGCCTGCTGTGAGCGATTTTCTGCCATATTCGATGAGAGTGGTGTTTGCCTTTTGCTGAATTGGCGAGGAAGTGTCTACGGTCTCAACAAAGTGCTCCTTGGCGAGCACTGAGCTTCGCGACTCGCAACTCTTGTGGACTATGTGAGGACAGCAGGGAGTCCATTGCCATGGTCAAATGGGCAAAGCCTTTAGCTGAACCAGCGGGGGCACTCAAATTTGGGCATGTCCCTGAGGGACCCTTTCATGAGGCCCCCTTTGCTGGGGGGATTTGTTGGAGTCCCGGCTCCTGGCTTGACTGAGGCTTCACTTCTCCATGAGCACGCAGCTTGCTCAGAGCTGTGCGATCTGTCGAGAAGCAATGACCCCTGTGGTTGACCTTGAGTTTCTTTCAGAGCCAAAGCAAGGGTAGCAAATGTACAGACCTAGGTGCCCTTCATTGGACTAGAAGGTTAGTTCGGTTGCCATGTGCACATTCCTGACTCCACAAGCTCACCGCTCTTTCTCAGAGCAACCATCCGACTCAGGATGAGAACTCCGACAGTGTATCGGAATTGGTGGATGCTGCCCGAAGCCAAGCGCTGCAATTTATTTGATCACTGAGTCACTGAGTCTTGAAACTCGCTCCATGTTCGCTTTGCAATCCTCGGGGGCCCGCCCGCCTCAAAGGCAATGCTTAGGATGTGGCCCATGTACTTTCACATCCCGCCGTTCTCCTCGACCCCTTCAGGGCAGGCCTGGGAGGGCCCGCCGGTCGGTAGCCAGTTGCTGCCATCCTAAAACTTTGCAGAACCCCCCAATTAACTCGGTTGCATGTTTTTCCAACATACCTCGCCCAAAAGCCTCCCATTGGTTCCAAGGCAATTTCCACGAATTGCCTTTGCGGCGCCTTTGGGTTTGCAGGGTACAACCCCGCGCGTTGTCAGATCACTCCGCCCGCTGGATCGGGCCTTGCGGAACAGTTGGGGCCACAGAGAGAGCCAGGGAGAGAGCTCAAAGAAGCAGTGAGAGAAGGTGGGGTGGGTCCAAGAATGTCCCAATGTCTGGACGACCCCTGCTTGATTGCTCTTGGTTACACAACCTTTCATACTCACGCAACAAGTGAATGATTTGCGCGGGTCTTGACCTGAGCCCAGCCTATTGCTTTCCGTTGGGCCCCTCCAAGCCAAATTGGATTTCCCATGTCCAGATACCTGAAGGGAGGGCAAAGCGTTTTGGGCTTTTGGAGACACGCTCAATTTGACTTTGCACGGAGAAATCGGAAAAGACCCGGGACCTCCACCTTTTGTTAGAAACAAAGCGGCAGGGACAGGGCTGTCAATGGCATTTGAGGGGTAATGTTTGGAGGTGTAGAGGACAACATACCGCTAATATAAGGGCTAACCATGACGCTGGAGCTTTGCGACCATTGGTGACAAGCCAAACTATTCCAACTGGTTCGAGAGGCAAGCCTGGTGTTTCGTCCCCTTGAAGATGCGCAAGGTTTCAACGTACCAGCTGCGTGCTCTGGGACAAAGCCCTCGCTTGTGGGTCTTTGCGGGGCGAAGCCCAAGGCTGACAGTCGGACAGCGCGTGGTGGCGGTCGAAAAGATCAAGTGGACACTTGGCTGCAAGAGGCTTCCTGGCGACCAGAGTATTTGGGCCAAATGGGGCATCCCATGTGTGGCTTGCAATGGGAGCACAAAGGTGGGCACGTCGCAATAGAACAGTCATGGGGATGGGCCGCTCATGCTGGGTTTTCCCAGAAGCAGATCCCCGATTTGGGGAAGACATGTTTGCTTGTCTTGGCCCTGCGCTTCGCTTGGCACTTGTGCCACTCGCTTGCTTGAGTCTCGAGGCGACGTCACAGCACGAGTCCCAGTCTGCAGTGAGGGCGCCGGAGCTCGCATCTTTTGCCCTGTCAATTTTGGTGGAATTGTGGACTGATTTCTCCTAGAAGTCCAGCAGATGTCGCATTGGTTCTCGCTGCCAATGGTTTGACATGCTCTTGCACCCAGGCTTCTGGCTTCAAGCAAGTCCGAAACAAGCGCTATACTCAAAGTTTACGTGCTGATCTTTGTTTTTTACGTGCTTTGGCACCACGAAGGCCACGGGGTGGGCTCGGCCTCAAGCTAGAACGCCTCGTGCTCCCAAGTCACCGAAAGCGCGGGCCAATGCAACATAATGCAACCTCAAGCTCTTTCAGCGGCAAACATAGCCCCGATCCCCTCAAAGACTCGATGCCAAGAAAGTGCTTGAGAATGCATTCGCTTCGGCAGGCTCAACGCGGAGATGCAAGGATATATATATATATAAATATATATATATAAATATATAACGGCCTCCCAGGGCTTGATAAAGAGTACGGGAGTAGTGAATTCAACCTGTGTTCTTTTCATCCGTGGG